ATAATAGTGCTATGGAGGTTATATGAGGTTAGTGTTTTAAGGTAAGAAGACATTAAAAAGAAGACTATCTATAAATTACTTAACAAAATGCCGCCATACAACTCACTGTTATCAAGTCAGAACCTCCTCATACCTGACCCTTATGTGGGTTTTCAGATGCTGTAAATCTCACAGGACATTGTCTATCTTTCTTTCTTGGAGCAGCTGACAGATTTGAACCACCACCTTTGGATTGGCAGCACAGCTCTCTATCCACAAGGCCACCAGAGCTCCCTCTAACACAAGTTAGTGAGGAGGAAAAGGATGAGGACACAGATATGGCATCTTACGTGGTAACAATTAGGTTATCACATTCCTTATAAAATGGTCATGACAGCATTACTGCTTATTGTACTCTTACTCTATAGCAATCACGCCAGACACTTTACATGTGGGTACTCTTGTTAATTGTGGTGAAAACTATATGATGAGAATGCCATTCCCTCCACTGGATAGTTGACGATACTGAACCACGGAAAAAAATGGATCATTTAACCAGGACAAATAGCAAATAGAGTTTCAGAACAGAATTTGAACCCAAGCATCAAGAGTTGAGTTTTGAGGTTGTGATAATAAGTACAGATTAGATCATTCAGGCCTCATAGTTAGGGTAGGACACTACTGAAAGCTGTTAAACAGAGGTGTGACATGAGCTCATGCCACATTTTAGACAGATCACCATGTGACTGTTAACCAGATAGTGAGCTGAACACCAAATTAACAACCACACATAGGTCTGAGTCAGAGAAGTCCAGAAAGCCAGGGCGAAGCATGATTTTATCTGTGAAGTATATTCTGTGGCTCTGAAGTTACATGGGCTGCCATGCTGCACAATCCAGGGACATCTTCACATCCTTTGGAATGAGACAGTGGAGATGCAAGTGGTGGTCAAGTTTGCCTTGGGCTGCGAATCTGATTTCAACAAGGATGAGGACCAAAGAGAATCTGACAGTGGTGTATAATGGAGTTTCCGCAAGTACCGGCCCAGCTCACCTGCCAGAGTGAGACATGTCACCTCCTCTCATCAGCCCAAGAATCAAGGCGCTCCTCCACTCAGTGGCCAGGAAGCCCTCTCCTGTCAGTTACTGAAGAGACAGCCCACTGACAACTTTCATTCCACTAAGAAGAATGGCAGGTCCTAGTGACTGTGCCAGCCCCCTCACAGGACGTTTGATGGGTCTGTGAAGTGTGTCCTCCTTATCCTTTTTGTGTGACTGTCAAGCAAAGCCCTGGTCCAGTTGACAGTATAATATCGTTGGGGTCATCAGTTCACTCTCAGAACCATCGCATCCTTCCTTCAAAATCTTTGGGCAAGTGGAATTAATGACAAGGACGTGGCTGAGCTTTTAAGCCATAGCATGTCATTAAGCTGTAAGTGCAATTTAAGCAAAAAGCATTTTTGTGCTCAATTCCAACCCAGCCTCTGTCTACAGTTATGTGACTAATTCCTCTCCAAGTCATCAGGAAGAAACTTTTTAGAACTTAGTGTCAACTGCGAGAAGATGAGAGACACAAATATTCTAGAGAATAAACAAACTTTAGAGTGATTTTGGCTTAACTAGTCTTCCAGGCTCGCTTGTCCTGGCAAATCAGGGGTGAAATTATTTCAAGACAGATGGATGTCTCTTCTAGAAAATTTCTGGCCTAACTTGCTGTGTGTGGCAACCTGTTTCATCTTTTAAGAAAACACCCTGAAAGTTAAGGAAGTGCTCCTTTTATTCAGTGCACATCTCTCAGGCTTTAAGTTAATTTCCTCCCCTCTTGCCTTCTCTGGACATGAAGGAGAGCTGTTCATCATCTTCCACATACAAGGGCCTTTAATCAGATTACTCCTCGGTCGCTTTTTCTTCAGACTGGACAATTTCACTTCCTTTCACCGTTCCTCACAGATCTATTCTGTCCTTTTAATCATTCTGGTTAGTCCTTCTCTGGACTGTCTACAGAGGGCCTTTGTTAATTCCTCTCATCTAAATTGAAGAAGTTATTCTTCTCTCAGAAAATCTCAACTCTTCTCCTCAGTTTTGGATGCATTCAGTCTGATTTTAGGAGCCCACTCAAGTGGTTCGACATTGATGCTTTGAGGTGATTCCCCCTGCTTTTTGAGCATCTCTAGCTGTCTTCAAATGTAGGTCACATTTTAGTGGAGCCAACAATCCCATTTACTGATTTTTCTGCGATTTATGGCCTTTCTCTCTCTACTAGAAATAAAAAAGGAACAACAGAATGAAGGAGGGGAAGGAAGATGAGTTCTAGAGAGTTAAATAAATACCATTTGAGTTGTTAAGTGAAGAAGAGAGAATTGAAGTAATACTCGAGTACTGTGGAATAAATAATACAGGCGAAACATGCCTGAAAGACAGCCCTTACTTAGTTACTTTGATGATAAAGCAGAAAAGGTTTCATGTTTTATGACCACTGTACTTAAGCAGAAAAATTTAAGGAGAGGGTAGAAAGATAGGTGAGTCTATGATTCTACACAAGTGAAATTATTTTGCTTGACCAAAATCACTGTGTAAGTTCATGGGGTTTTTTTTTTTTGGGGGGGGGGTTTGTGTGGCTTTTTTATAATTTTTTATTTTTATAGAGGTTTTGGATTTCCATTCATTCATTGCCACAATTTTCTCCCTTCCCACCCCTCCCCACCAGCTTGTTT